TCCGACTCCGACTCCGACTCCAGGTACCCAAAATTGTCTCCGACTCCGACTCCGACTCCAGGTACCCAAAATTGTCTCCGACTCCGACTCCTCGACTCCGACTCCACAGCCCTGGTGCAAACCACTGCACCCCCGTGGTGGTCTGAACCAGTCAGTCAAAATTACATTTAGCATATGATTGTGTGTCTGTGTGTGTGTGTGTGTGTGTGTGTGTGTGTGTGTGTGTGCATATGCATGTGTATACGTGGATCTCTGATAATGCATGTCTGGGATAATAGACTGTCACCCAGCTACAATGACACAAAGACCAGAGGTGAAGTCCAAATACAAAACTTCTGTTTGTGTACATAGCTTAAAAGAGAAAAATAATGTGCTGTTTTATTGGCTTGTGCCTACAAAGTTATGATAATTTAAAAATAGATTTGTGTTTTGGAAGGAAAAGTCATCGCAAGAGCTAACCACTAGATCTAGGCTATAAGAGAGATTGACATCACAAGTAACCATTTCTCAGGCTCCTTGTAAAGATAATACATTCAGAAAGGGGTAAACTAAAGGTGAAGTGTCTGGCTAGGAACACCAAGAGGTGTAGTAGTAAGTACTGGTGATGTTACCAAATAAGTAAGGGATTAACTTTCCTGTTAAGAAGGCACATCAGCTGAATTGTTAGGTAGAACAGCCAGTTCTACACAAAACAGGACCACAGACCACGTGACTTTGGATAAATTATTTATTTTAAATTTACTGCAATGACTCATTTGTCCTATAGGTCATATTTGTCTTAAAATTTATAAGCCTGCACTATTGGAGCAATTCAGAAATTTTTTTTGGTCAAAAGCACAAAAGCAATATCCTCAATAACGATATGGACCAGAAACCTTCCGGTTGCACGCCCAAAATACTTACCACCAGGCTACTTGACACCCTTTGGCATACTAATAGTAACACATCTAGCAAATTATCACAACCCCCCAAAAACTACGACACCCAACAGACAGCCTGAACTTGTTTTGACTGCATTGTTGTAGATGTCGCAGCGTAATACCACTCATGTATTCGATAGAGCTGTTGACAATGTTATAACAATAACTATACTCATATGTAATTCACAAGTAATGCAAACAATATACACGCATTACGCATCCTAAAAGTTACTCATTCAGCTACTGTCGAAAACCTTAAGCAGCTCCGTACAAGATTCCAATGTCATTCACAGAAATTTTACGGTACATAACACATTCATTTCCACTACCTGGAGACTGCATAACCTCCAACTGCATGTTTACGGTACTTATACAAATACTCGGTAATAAATAATTACATTAAAACCACTGTTAAAGATGAAATGTTTCATCGTTCTGAAAGGTTTCTGCTGTCCTGCTTTCTGCCTAGATAATATCAGGCTGCATTGGCAGCCACCTGAAAATTAAAGCAAGCGACAACAAATTTAGGACGGAGTAAATGCATTATGTAGCATATATATATATATTTCTTGCGGGCCACGATAAATGTATTCTGGTAAAAACGACGGGTCGACGATCAGCCCCGTGTGCAAGAAGCGGCCCGAGTTGTGCAATTGTTTCCTTCGCTAAAGCATCAGATGCAAGTTAGGGAAGGGAACTCAACCTATCAAGACCGTATATTTCTATAGATATCAGGAAACCCATGCAAGAAGTGCAAATTTTACAGTACAGCAGTTCATCTTTCTTCAGCACTAGATCTCCAGAAGGGGTATCTGTCAAATGTAATTGGTGCTTGCCGTTCCCCTTACTGTGCATTTCCCTGCAGGAGGTATAGTCCGAACCATATCCGAAACCAAGTCACCTTTACCCCGACCAACTCCTTCCTAACACGCTAAATGTGAAGCTCCAGACCTTGGAGATCTTTTAAAACATACGAGGATCGCACGACTAACCTCTGGATGAAGAACGGGGACACAGCCAGCTTCTTTTTCGTATTCATTCCCAGCGTCAGCCATCTTGGTGTCCTGGCCCGCTGGGCATCATGGGAAATAAGACTCATTGGAAATAAACAGGATGAACGCGGAGTTCCCTTTAAACAACCCATGTCTAGGACAGCCTGTCTAACAACTAACGGTTTATAAACACAAATTAACATTTTTAACAAATGCGTCGAATGATTTAATTCGTTTGTGTATTTTAAATGGTATGCATAAGCAAGAAATGTATAGAAAAGGTATCAGGTTTCGTGTGTTTACAGTTTTTTCCCTAATATTTCAGATGGTAAATTGTAAGAATTGCGGGTTTATAGAAAATAACTCTTTGAAGAATGCACATCAAGCTAATGTTCATGTGAAGAACAACTTCATATATTCACTGTGATAATTAGATGCTGGTTATCCATTAAGTCTATGAGACTATAGTGGTATGTGAAACCAAAATACAAAATTTGGGCCAGTTTTCAAGGAATATGTTCCTCCACGAATATTATGAAGAGTCACAGTCAAAGAAGAGCGAAAACCATGAATCCATAATGTCAGTAGTAGAAAATTAAAAACAATGTAATACTTAAGATAACTGCAAAAAGAAATCTGACTCAGAAAGTTAAGTTTCACAGTCCAAAAGACAGGTGGCCAATGACACCTACCGTCGGCCAGTAAATAATATCGCTTCATTTTTTCTTATAAATACAATATTTCTGGTGTAAAACTGTGCGTGCACACCATTGCCACGAGATGTCGCACGCCACATAAGATATCGTTGTAAAACTACAGACCAAAACCTCTTCCATAAAATGTACTGTGTCAACGGTCTATCAATGGTTATGGCTATATATATTACCTACAATGAAAGATTACATTTATATCGTCCCACTTTAAGGCTTATCAACGCACTTTAACAGCTTATTAACTTTTGAAAATACAGTGAGTATAGTCAAAATCAGTCAAATGCCGAGCCAATGCACCCCAAGCATTATTAGTCGATTACCGATCCTACATTACCTGAAAGAAAGAAGCGCAGCAGCTCTTGTCGCTAGAGAATGAAACCACGCAAAAGGAAGACGGATGTACGATGACAAATAAGGCTGGTCGCGCATGGACCGAAGGATGCAAAAAATGGAATAGAAATGTTCATTCTCGCGAGTTCATAAATGCATTAGCTGTATGTCGCGGCTAAATTGAATTTACTGAGACATGACCATTAGCTTGATGCCACTGTAGCTATCAGATCCCGCGTCGCTGTATTGAAAAGTTGTGCCTGGTTACGCCAACGGAAATTGTACATAGGTGCCGGAATTACTGCTTGGAAACTTTAAAACTAGGTAAGCCAGTCGAGTTTTTTTCTTTTCTTTTTTTGTTTGGTGAGTAATGATGGGTGCTGCATTAGGCAGCGCATGTCGGGAGGTGACAGAATAGCGAATGCGACAAAATGGCACATCTGCGTGTAAACGCCTCACACCCAGTTCACTGATCATCCAGCCACTTCTGATCGGCTCACTTTGGCCCGCCTGTTTACGTCGGAATTATGAAAGTCCCGTTTCATCCTCACATACAGTAACGGGGATTTACTTTTTACTTGGATTGTGGAAATTTACCCTCTTAGCTCTCGCGCTCGACTCATACTTTCGGAATGCTTGTGTTCTTTAGTAAATGATGCAATTGCCCACTAGCAAATACTTAAGCATTTAAATCCTTAACTTTGGTATTCTTAAACTATACATGTTTTAGAATCCAGGGAAAATGTTTAAATTATTATTGCAAGCAAAAACGTTTTTTCCCCAATCTGAGGATTTCTGATATAAACTGACTTAGTATTTCTACTAAAACTTTTGATATATACCTACGATAACAGTGGAAAACTGGAATGTTATGTCCTGCAGTTTATTAATAATCTTGTTAGAACAGCTTTTTCTTTGATATGTTATTTGATGGTTTGCCTAGGATTTGCGTATTATTCAACGTTATGCGGTTTTCTTGGAACATTCTGAAACCCTGCAAAATACGGATGCACCGTACGGGGCCTGAAAATCTATTCATTTAGGCTTCTGTAGTAGAGTATTTCTGCACTACGCGTGAGAAATCTGTTCACGCTCATTCTTAATTAGGAGTAAAGCTCCATCCATCCATCCATCCAACCAGCCGCTTATCCTAGTTAGTGTTGTGTGTCAAACTAAATGCCGAAGGAAAACTGAAGCTGACATATTTTTGTACCTTTTTGTACAGCTACATATTTTACGGCGATTTAATATTCTCTACCTTTTAAATAGGGTATTGATGAAACTGTTTACACACAGAGCATCTCACAATGTATTTAACATTGTTTCCCATGGCGCCAAGTTTTCTTGATAGTTATTGTTTGAGTTGAAAATCAATGCTTATTACATGCAGCTGGAGTGTTTGTTTGACATCGATATTCCCATTTTCGTCTTCTGTTTCAAATGCTGTCTTCATCTCCTGTGCAAAACCTGATGTCACCAATCGATCAGTCAATTCTAATTGGATAGTTCCAGTTGGGTTTTCTCAAAATACTATTAGCATACAGCTTATTTGGAACCTCAATTTATCAAAGAAAGGAAAAAGACCACATGTTCACACAGTTTTGTCCTTACATGTCAGTTCATCCCATGAGCCTGGGGCCTGTCCCAGGATGCACTGGGCCTGAAGCAGGGAACACCCTGGATGGGATTTGCATGCAAACAGCATGCCGATAAAATTGGGAGGGAATCAGATCACTAGCATTCATGTATACATAGTGAGTGATTGCACATTGCTGTTTAAATCTGTATTGTGTTGCCCACCAAGTCAATCCAATTGTTATTTTAGTGTGGCTGATTTGCTATCCAAATGGACTGTGCATTTGACTGTCTTGCAGATTCTCACCTCTTTGAAAAGTGAAGGCTGAGTTTTTGTATCTCAGATGTTCACAACCTGTGCTTCTTAGTCTTAGTAAGTGTGTCATCTAACAGGCCTTTAAGTCCAGCTTCTGGAGCACCTCGGTAAATTAACCATTCATTTTGAATTGACCTCATGATTTCTGATGGGGGTGGCATGGTAGGGCAGTTGTTAGCCCTTTTGCCTCAGGGTTCTGGGACCTGGGTTCTAGTCTCTTCCAGGGCTTTGTATGTGTGGAGTTTGCGTGTTCTCCTGGTGTCATAATGGGGTTTCCTCCAGGTGCTCTGGTTTCCCTCCATAGTCCAAAAACATGCTGAGGTTAATTGGAGTTACCAAATTGCCCATGAGTGTGCATGTGTGAGTGTGCATGTGAGTGTGCATGTGTGAGTGTGCATGTGTGAGTGTGCATGTGTGAGTGTGCATGTGTGAGTGTGCATGTGTGAGTGTGCATGTGTGAGTGACTGGTGTGTGAGTGTGCATGTATGAGTGACTGGTGTGTGAGGGTGCCCTGTGATGCGTTGGCACCCCATCCCGGGTTGTTCCCTGCCTTGTGCCCAGCAAAGGTACTGAACCCCCTGTGAACCTGAATAAAGCCCCTGTCAAAAATTCTGGAATTGCCAAATTTAGAGGATGTTCATCCAGCTTTTCGACTATGTAGCAAATAAACAAATCACATATATGACATGAAACAATTTTTGTATATTAGTAGAACATTCTGGCTGCATGAAACATACCTTTAAACTAATTAAATTATTTTAATCAATGGCATATTTTTTTTTCCTGGAGGAAATAAAGACATTATGGAATCACACAGTGTGGGGGAAAAATTATGGAATCACCTTGTCATTTGTTAGTTGAAAGAACGGGTCATTTTGAAGAGCTCAGTGAATTCAAGTGTAGTGCTGTCATACGATGCCATCTTGCCGTCTGCAGCAAGTCACTTCATGAAATATCTCCCCTGCTAGATATTCCACGGTCAACTGTAAGCGGTGTTATTGCAAAGTGAACGTGTTTAGGAACAACAGAACCTCAGCCACATAGTGTCAGACCATGTAAAGTAACAGGGCGAGGCTGCTGAATGCTGAGGAGCATAGTGTGTAAAAGTCACCAACGCAACTGCAGAGTTCCAAATTTCCTCTGGCATTAACCCTGTGTGTTGGAGCTTCATGGACTGGACTTCCGTGGCTGAGCAGCTGCATGCAAACCTCACATCACTAAGCGCATGGCAAGTGTTGGATGCAGTGGTGTAAAGCGTGTTCGGTGGAGTGACAAATCGCAATTCTTTGTCTGGCAGTCTTATGGAGGAGTCTGGGTTTGGCTGAGGGCAGGAGAACGTTACCTGCCTGACTGCATTGTGCCAACTGTAAGGTTTGGTGGAGGAGGGATAATGGCGTGGGGTTATTTTTCAGGGGTTGGACTTGACCCCTTAGTTTCAGTGAAGGGAACTCTCAATGCTTCAGCATACCAAGACATTCTGGACAATTCTATGCTTTCAGCTTTGGGGGATCAATTTGGGGAAGGCCCTTTTCTGTTCCAGCATGACTGTGCCTCAGTGCAAAAAGCAAGATTCATAAATACATGGTTTGGTGTGGAAAAATTTGACTGGCCCACACAGAGTCCTGACCTGAACCCCACTGAACACCTTTGGGATGAATTAGAACGGTAAATTGTGAGCCAGACCTTCACGTACAATATCAGTGCCTCATAAATTGTCTTCTGGATGAACGGGCAAAAATTCTCGGAGACACACTCCCTAAACTTGTGGAAAATCTTCCCAGAAGAGTGGCAACTGTTATAGCTGCAAATGGGGGACCAACTCCATATTGATGCCTATAGATTTAGAATGTGATGTCAAAAAAGTTCCCGTATGTGTAATGGCCAGGTTTCCCAATACTTTTGTCCATGCAGTATGTGTTTCACGAAGCCAGAATGTTCCGCTATCATGCAAAAATTGTTTTGTGTCATATCTGTGATCTGTTTAATTGATACAAAGTCAAAAAGCTGGGTGAATATCCTCCGTGGTTATTCCATAATTTTTACCCGTGGTTGTAGGACCAACAGGGACAGAAAATAGATGGATGGGTGATTCCCTTTCTCTGCTGTTTGTTCTTTGAGACAAATGTGTCAGTGCTGAGAAATGGAAGAAATCAGTGTTTCTGTCATATGTTTTGAAAGGATGAACACCAGTTTACCCATAACTTTAGTGAAAGTTTCTGATATGGGAATACAGTAGTTTTGTACTCGTCTACAGTGCAGATTCATTAGGAAATAGGAAGAGTGTTGGGAAAACACGTAATTGTCAGAGGTCTACAGTGCCATAATGTTCTGCGGTATTTTGGTCAAATCCAGAAATGCAAAAGTGAAAGTGTATAAAGCTAAAGTGTGAATTTGTGCGGAACAGCATAGAATAAATCAGTTTTATTCTGAAGTGTAAAGTGTCCTGTATACAATTACATTAAGTAAATATTTGCAGTTCTATATATAGGTAAATGCGGGAGAGGGATGTGAGCACTTGTCGCAAAAATCGAGAACTGAAATAAATGACATAATTAATATCAATAAAAAGGTGTTGTTCATTTTTATTAGACATAAATGTATGACTCTGGGCCTTTTTTCACACAGTGTCCCCCTGTCAGATGCTCTGTCAAATCTGCCCTTCTTCTCTTAGTGAAGGACTTAGATTAGTCTACCTTCCCATATTCTATAGCTTGGAGGTGCTTTGTGTAATTTCATAGGCCTGACAAACAAGCCAGATTAACTGATCTGTTGCCCAGCACCGGAGGCAGTCTAAAGGTCTGCCTGAGTGTGGATATTAGTGGTTCTTTGGGGGCACAGCTGTCCCGTGTGGGGTTTAGGTTTCTCCCCATAGCAGCATATATGCTATTTCAGAATGAACTTTGACTCTCTGAACCTACCTTGCCTGGATCAGTGTTGCTGTCTTTTTGGGACTTTTTAGTGGACAGTCTATAACATGAGCTCTAACATCTTTAAAATTCAAGTGAGCTCCTTTTGAAACGGTCTGTTTTAAGTGTATAAGCAGGAATCACAGGTTTCTAGGTTGTGATAAGCAATTTTGTTTCATGAAAAAATATGAAAAGATTTATCATAATTTGTTGTTCTTGTTAGTGTAATTTTTTGTTCTGTGGCAGGACATATGCTTTCTTGGTTAATTTGGGTCAACCACTTCCAAAGGTTCTGTTACTGATGTTTCAAGACCAGAAAATAAATCATTTTTGGCATTATATTTATTGATTTACTTTTGTATTGTTTCACTTTCTTACCCAAGTCACTTGGAGGTCTGCCTGAATGGGTTAATCTGGACTCCTTTTCATTCTGTCCATCTTCCATGAAACTTACCTTCAGAAGCATATGGCACAAGACAGGAAACGCTCTGGACGGGGTACCAGTCCATCTCAGGGAACAGTCGCGC